TATTAAATAATAATATTAATTATCTTATTAGTTATTAATTATTTTTAATAATGAAATTAAAATAAAAATTTGATAATTTTAATAGTCTAATAAAAATAACAGTGGCCATAACATATAGCCCTACTTCTACCCACTGAACATTAAAATTCTGATCAAGCAGGAGGAGGATGATGGTCTTGCAGAGTGCAGACTCGGAGTTACATTCTGGGTTAGAAACAGCGCTAAAAGCCACCACCGATTGGTATTATTTTAGCAACATATACTACTAATTAATTACAATTTTAGCAGAATTGGTATTCATCAATAAACATTTATTAATATATTTTTAATTTAACATATTGTGTAATATTTTTATTAAAAATTTATTTTTTTATAAAATTAAAAATAAATAAATTTAAAAATATAATCATATATACACATATAAGAATTAAAGAAATAAATTATATTTATATTATATTTTAGTAATTAAACTGAATAAGTATCAAAATAGCTGTTAAACAAGAAAATATATTAATAATTTTTCTTCACTAATTGACTCATTAATTAAAATAACTTTATTTGGCTCAACATTAGAAATTTAAATCTATGGAAGCATGTCCATCCTTTACAAACCAAAAAATACATTGACTAAAATACAAGAAAGGTGTACCTTCATCAGGGTCTGTAGTTGGCTGAGATTGATTTTGAGCATTAGCAGCGCAAAGGAGCTGCACCAAGATAGCAAAGGAACCCAGAACCAGGAGATGTCGTGCTGCAGATGATCCCGACATCCTTCGAGGTGATCCCGACGGTCTGTCTGTGTTGGTATATTGCTGAAGAATGAAGGAAGCAGTTGAGCAGAGAAATGGGCAATACCTTCTGATGTTTTATAATGCTATATCTAGGGACGGAGTCATAAATTCAAGTTAGTGGGGTAGGAAGTTAAAATTTTGTATAGATTATTTCTTAGTTTATATTAGTATAATTAATATTAATTTCTATATCGCTCACTAATTTTGCGTATATACTATTTAAGTTATGAATGCAAAACTTTAAATTAATTAGATGTATTTAATTTTACTAATAAAATTAGATATATTTAACTATTTTTAAATAATATATGCTTTAAAATATTTAAATAAATAATATAAAAATATCATTTATTTTTTTGAACGGTTACATATATCAAAATAACTTTAAATTTGAAATGTATTATTTATATAATAGAATAAATTCAACCATTATTTTACAGAATATAAATTATACAAAAAAATTATATATAATTGATTTAAAAATTTATATAAGTTGCATTAATATAATTAACTAGATCTTAATTATTTTTTAATGTTTTTTCTTATTTAGACTAGATTATTATATCTTAAAAATTAATCACAGAGAGAGAAATGATTCATTTACCTAAATTCTAAACGTTTTCTTTATATTTGAAATGGTTCCAATAATTCAAAAATTAAAAAAAATGTGAAATATAAAAATTAATATACCATATTTGAAATTTTTCAAAAGCTTAGGGGGGGCTACAATGTCTCCGTCGGTTGGTATATGTCTGGCGACATTTGCATGGGGATCGCGGACAACCAACAGTAATAATAAATATGACCCAACCCCACCTATTAACAACCATCATTTCAAGGGATGCTAATAAATGTGAACCTTTTTTTTTTTTTGTAGTAATGGGAGGATTAAATAAATAAGACTTAAACGGCTACAATAGTTCTCGGAACAACAGTTCCAATACAGTCATAGAACAAAATACAAGAGAGCTCAATAAGTTTCTCATCATACAACATAAAGTCAAAAGAAGAGGAAACACCAAGTTTGGCCAAAAAGTCTGCAGCCGCATTAGCCTCCCTGTAGATATGGTGAATTTGAAAGTCAGGAACTCCTTGCATGAGACGCCTGCAGTCATGAATAAGCACACCAAGTGAGTGGAAGTTATGGTCTGCAGATTTAAGAAGAATTTCTGCAACTTTGGAATCTGTTTCCAAAATAAGTTTGGAGATTCCTCTGCTAACAGCAATATCTAAACCATCCCTAATGGCCCAAAGTTCAACAGCAAGACTAGTGGTAAAGCGAACTCTTCTAGAGTAACCATAGATCCAGGAACCATTATGATATCTGAATATACCTCCTGCACCAGCCATCCCTGGGTTCCCTTGGGCAGAACCATCAGTGTTAAGTTTCAAGAAACCAGGAGGTGGCGGTGACCAACCAATGTGAACCACAGTCTTATTTGTAGGAGCAATATCAGGGGAGTTATATTTAAGGAACTCCTGCACTCTATTAAGAATAACACTCTTAATTTGCTGAATATTCATTTGGGTGCTATTATGGACAAATTGGTTCCTAGTAAACCAGATGGTCCATAAA